TGCTATTTGTGATTATATGTATTACATGATTTGTATGTGTGCATGACTATATAATGGTGATATGAACCTATAGGATAAGCACTATAGAAACTATGATATATGATTTATAAAATGAAAGAACTATGGAATCCCTATGAGAAGGATTATAGGAGTTATATGGAATTGAATTAAATAAATAGAATAATATAGTATTTAAATATTGTGAGATAAGTGATATAAGTCATATGTTATTGTAAAGGTTAGTGTTATAAATCAGGTAAATTGGAAAAAGGGGAAATGAGATAAGATAAGTAGCAATTACCTATAAGATTCAAATAAGATTATTTGAATATGTAGCATAAACTATATATGGGTAACGTAGATATTATACGATTTAAGCATGAAATGAACATAAGATATAGTCAGGTGAAATTATTATGTGCTATGAGTATATTAATATGTTAGATAAGTAATATAAGAAGGTCGATAGGTTAAATGAACTATGATCTAAAACTATTAGGTTTTTATATGATATGAAGTATAGTACCAAAGTACTTGAAATCATGTGAGGATGTTATAGGAATTAGAAATATAAAGTGTATGGCATTAATGTATCATTATAGGAAATGAGTACATGATGTTGTAATAAATTATAGAAATTTGTGTAATGAAATTATATGAATAAGTGAAAGAGTAAAATAAGTTAAGCAACAATGACCTAAACTATATTATGAATTAGTGGTATAAGAATATGATATAGAATATGCAATAGGAATCTATGGATTAAATGATAAATATGAATTTATTAGAATAAAAGATAAGATATGTGACTATGAGTATTGAATGAGATAATTATATGTGATAAGCTTTGTGATATGTGAATCATATGAAAATGTTCTACGTGTAAGTGAACCATGTGTCTGTATATATATATGATATGTGATTTATATGACAATGAGCTATGTGAAAGAACTATGAGACTATGTGTATATGTGAATGTATGATAACAGAAATATTAATGCCCATGTTATGTGACATGAGAGCTAGAGGTATAGTTGGCATGCCAAGAGTCGAGGGTCTACGCGGTCCTTCAGGACATATATGTATTCTTTGGAACATGTGTGAGGTCTTTGAGACATACTTACATATTAGCATATGTATGTGATTCTAATTAATTTTTACGTGGTCCTTAGGGACATCTATATAGCACTACGGGTGATTCTTAATTAATTTTCTACGTGGTCCTTAGGGACATCTCATATAGCACTACGGTGCAATTCTACGCTGCACTTCGGTGCAATTCTACGTGGCACTTCGGTGCATTTATACGAGCTGTGGTGACATCATTAGTGCACAACCTCCATAGACTCACATATCTATAGTTCTCACATGTGTACATGGGTTAATAAAGAGATAAATTTGAATACAATGTATGTAATATATATATATATATAGATATATATATATATATACCTGAGGTGTAATATGAATTGTATTATATGATATAAGTGTGTTATGGGTGATTGCATATGATATACAAGAATGTATGTTAATGTATATGAAATGAATATAAATGACTTCTATGATATATAGAATCTGTTATGAGATATAAAATATATGTAAGAGACTATAGGAGTAAAGAGATAAGAGATATAATGATAATAATATAGATTATGATAAATACGTAAATGTGATATGTGTATAAGTAATGTTTTATAAAAGACTATATGAGATGGTATGACAGTGTATATATGTGTGTGTGTGTGTATTATGTATATATAATATGTTAGTACAAATTGTTCATGCATGATCACGCATTAGAGTTCTATATATGTTTATGCCTCACTAAGTCATAGACTTAGCATGTGATTGTTTCACACGTAGGTTACAGAAGCGAGAAAAGAAGCTAAGGAGAAAAACAGGTCAACATCTCCCTTACAAATTTCAGATCAGAAAATAGATGATTCAAATGTTTGGTTATTTTGAATATAGTTGGCATGTACTAATTGATTGAGTTAAATATGCTCTGATCGATTTGGTTATTTTGGTCAATTTATGTAAATAAACCCGCTTTTATTTTAATGAAAGTTTTAAATTTTCTTTGAATTTTGGTCAAGAGTCAAAGTTTGAAAAGTCAATGTGACACCTCAAACTCGGATTCGGGTCGGATACGGGTTGGGTGTTACACTCGAAGATGTTAAATTTCCTAAAAATTATTTATTACAAATATGAAATGTAAGAAATAATATTTTATTATAAAAACTTAATATTATTTTTAAAATATAAAATAATTTATTTAAATATTATTTAGTTCAATATTGTTGAAAACATTTTGATATTTCGATATAACAAATAAATGTGTAAATTCATTTTAAGTTTTTATATTCGATTTAAATATTATATTCGATTCAATTATTCAATATTACAAATATTACTCCATTTTCGAATATCAATTTTTACTCTTACTTCAATGAAAAATTGAGATTCACTCTAAAAAATATTTTTGAAATATTTTTTACGAAGTTTCGAACTTGAATCGAGTCAAAATGGATTTTCAAAGAGGTAGTACCTTCGTTTATAACAGGTAGTATCGATACCCCCTGAATGGAGTACCGATACCCATACGCTCCCAACAGCTTTTTGAAGTGGAAAACACACTACAAAGGCTCTATTGACTCCAATATGATTTCCAACGTTCAGAATTCATCCAAGGAGTATTTAAACAAGTCTTGAAGCCATTGGTGAAAAGAGAGAAGATATATAAACAATTGAGAAAGTCTTAAATATCAAGTTTGAGCAAATCAAGCCAATATTCTTTCAATATTCATTTTGCTTTCCAAGAACACAATTTGTGCTCATTTGTATTTATTTCTTGAGTGTTCTGAATTGTTCTGAATTGTGCAAACAATCTTTCCTTGTGAGGTTTTCTTTAAGTTTGCGAAATTTGTAATTTTCTCTTTGAAAGAGAGTGTCTCAAGAATTTGGGGTATAATTCTTGAGGGAGTTGTAAGGTTACTCTTTGTCCTCAAAAGAAAGACAAATTAGTGAATTTGTGGAAATCCTTAGTGTGGATAGCTAAAGATAATGGACGTAAACTTTGGTTGAGAAAGTTGAACTACTCTAAATCGATGAGCAAATTATTTCTATTTTCTATCAAGCTTCCACCAAAATTTTAATTGTCAATTCACCCCCTCTTGGCTATTTCATCTGATCGACTGATTCAACAAACATTATTATCAAAATATTATTTCTACAATTTTATAAATAAAATATTAACAATAGTGTATTTTATTAAAATAAAAATTCATAAATTATATTAAATATTTATTAAAATAAGAATATTATATTATATTATGTATCTTTATTAAAATATTACTAGATTATCATATTAATATTATTCATTGTTAATAATTCAATAATATCATTTTTAGGAAATTAATAAATAACATAAATTTTATTAATAATTTATTATATATTAATAAAATAAGAATGTAATTGAGTATATTATTATAATATTAAAAAATATTATATTATATTATTAAAAAATAATAAATATATTTTAAATATTTAACAATTAATATTTTTATTAAAATGATACTAAAATATTATATTAATATTAAATGCATAAAATTATATTATTTTGAGTATTTATGCTTTGAAGTGAAAAGTTTGAAAAATAACTTACAAAAAATCAGACCGTAAGTCATTTTTCAAAAAATACAAAAGGAAATTCTGTTGATTAGTAAAATATTTTACATTGATTAATATGTTTTCGACCAATGAAATACTAAAAAAACGAGGAAAATGTTTTTCGTTAAACAAACAGACCCTTAGTTCTGTGTCATACTTTATAATAACATTTTACGTATTAAACTATCTAATAGTCATAATCCGATTGTTCAAAATTACTACATATTATTACTTAGTAATTCTAACTCTATGGTGAAATGCTTTGGAAATTGGAGTTTTGTGAATAGTATAAATTGGTCTCGAGGAGGGAACAAGTAATAGTGTAAGAGGGGAAGAGATTAAGTGCTTCAAGAGTGAATCAGTGGATAATAAATGTAGATCTTTTTTAGAATTGGTTATAAGATTTTTAGCACAAAGGGTACACTTCGCCTACGGAAGGTACATACCTTCACCATGCACCTAGGCTCCAAACACTTTTGGTGCTTTAATGTGTCTTACACCTTTTAATACTAAAGCAACATGCTCTACATGCCCTGATTTATGATATAAATATAGGAAATGAAACCTGAGAATGGGTTGTTCTTTAAGAGGGTATTTGGATATGATTTCATAGTATGAAGTTTCTAACCAAATGTTTTAGAAAAATATTCTTTCATAATTAGTCTTTGCATTATTACTACAACTTATTTTAAGAAAAAGCTACGATTTTAAAAAGAATATTAACTATAAATTTATTATTATAATTTAATTTTCAGAAAATAAAAAAATAAACTAAATTTATAAAATTCATGATATATTTGATACACCCTATGATTTAAAACAATTAATAGTTAAATGACTAAAACAGAAATTAAATAATAAATAGATGACTAAATAAATAATTTAGTCTTTTTTAACATGGATAGGCCATGGGCATGGCCATGGCCTAGATACACCCTGCGTCCATTTTTACATTACAGGCCTTTATGGTGTTAAATAAAACCCCAACGTCTGACATCCCTACGCAACAAATACTCAATAGTCTATAGCTCCATCAAAATATCAATCTGCAGTTTAGCCTACTAAAATCCTCACAGTACAAACAAGGATTTAAACAGTGATCCGTAATCAGAATAGCAATAATTATATAATAGTAATGATATTATTCGAAACTATTAGTGTACGATCGTGATACTCCTTATGTCCATATCGTAATAAAACACAATAGAAAACATAATCGTTATGTCCATAATTGGCATCTCTATATAGAGTTTAAAAAGCCAAGCAACTAAGATCAAATTTTCATTCACCAATGAGTTGTTAGCAAAAGGAGATTTAGGATCAGGTAACTTACTAGACCAGATTGCATAAATTTTGATATAGCTAGCTGGTTAAGACTATCTAGGTTCATGACAACATTCAAAAACATCCAAATAAATCCTGAACCCTAAACATAGTACTACTACCCATGGCTATTAATTAACTAAACACGACCCTCAAATAAACATTCTAACCTCACTTTCCCACCTTTCAAAAGGCTTTCAATTTCTTCAGGAGGGTTTAGCCCCATTCTTTGTGCTCTTTCCCAACGAGGCAGTCGCGATATCCCCAGGCACGGCCCGTATGCCATATTCATGTCAAATTGCGCCAACACTTTCTCTTCCTCATCAAAATCATCTGTTTCCCTCAAAATATTAGTTTGTAAAAATACCCATTTCCGGAAAAAGGATAAAAAAGGGGGAGAGAGAGACCTTTGAGGTCGACCGAACCGCCATGAGAAGCAAGGGCCGTAGCTTGGGTGATATCGGAACCGAAAGTAGCGGCGGCGTCTTTGTGAGATGGGTTTTTGGTTGACTTCTTCGCCGTAGAAGTGGTGGTGTTCTTCTTTTGCTTGTAGAAAACTTTGATGTTTCTGGATGTTGTTGCCATTATCGTCGATGCTTCTCCTCTCCCAAAGCTCTCTGATTGCCTTGATCCAAATTTTGAAATTTGTTTTCAGGATTGGTTGTTGGGTTTCGGTATTAATAGTATGGGCAATTCTTTTAGTTTCCAAATTCCAATACTGATTCCTGGGCTGGGATTGGTTTCTTTGAAGCTTTAATGGGCCTAATGGCATTGCAAATTTGCAATAGCTAAACTTACCGGTTTATGACCACAATTTAAAAAGCATAAAATACACAAATGATAGGGACATTTTCGAGGCTATGAGCGAAACTAAAAAATAGGTTTTTTATAAAACGAAAGTATATTTTATTACTTTAAATAATTAATTAAATATTACATTGATAAATCTTAGAAAAATAATTAAATTAAGTGAGATTGAATAAATGAGGGGTCTCATTATAAAAGTAAAAAGTGAGCTTAAAAAAATTAGGAGCTTCAATATAAAGGTAGAAAGCGAGATTTAAAAAATTAGGAGCCTCAATTATAAACGTAAAAAGTGGGATTGAAAAAAATTTGGGGCATCGAATATCGATTATTAACAAAAAAAAAGCGAGATTTAAAAATCAAGAGCCTCAAATATAAAGTTAAAAAGTGACATTAAAAAAAGTAAGGGCCTTAATTATAAAGGTAAAAAAATGAAATTACAAAAAATAGAGACTTCCAAAAAAGAGAAAAATAAAACTAAAAATATTAAAGATTTAAACTATAAAAATAGAAAATATGTTTAAAAATTTTGGGAACCTATGAAAATGGACGCCCTGAGCAGTCGCTTAGGGCACTTCCCCTTATAACCAGCTCTACAAATGATGTATCAATTATAAGATAGTTGAATTATTCGATTATAAAAAGTTAAACAATAATTATTTTTTAAAACAATTCTTATATAGGGAGAGGAGAAGGGGAATTTTACTCTTAATTGGTGTTGAACTCATCTCCTCGAGAAGATGTCAACTAAAAGTTTTTAACTTTCTGATCTAAATATTGCTAACAAAATTAAAAATAATTATATTTTAAAAATAATAATAAATTTATATTTTTTATTTAAAATAAAGTAACGGGAGATAACATGACTATTAACCATATTAACATAATAATAAATTCAGTTTTGTGTGCCCTTTGTTAACCTCGTGTTCTAATCTTTGACAGAACAAAAAGGAGAAAACAGACTGGTATTTTCAATCTTTCATGTCCATAATTTTATATTTTTTACAATTTGTATAAGCTTTAAATAAAATGCTTATTCATCTAGGAAAAATGGAATAAATGACAAAGAAAACCTGTTATTACCGTTACCTGTTAAATTACAGTTGTTATTGGTTTGATTTTTCTACCGTTATTTTCTACATTAGTGATTTTGGATGATATCACTATAATCACTATATAATGATCATTATTCCATTATCCGACCACTATAGTTGTTATAGACTTGCTTTCTTCATCACCAATGCTTAAGGAATTCCAAGCAAGATCATATTGATAATATATGCAGTTAGGGTTTTTAGCTATTACATCTGAGAGTTCCATTTCATGTTGAATTATTTAGCCATTAAATGCAGCTAAGCTTGAAATTTTAACCCAAAACAACATTTTCACCGTGGAAGAAAATATCAAAGAGTACCATATTCTTCAAGCAGAGGCAATCAAAGATAAAACCCACTTCGGACCTAGGGCTAATCAAACAAATGAAGATCATCCAAAGGAGTCCAAAGCAATGAAACCAAATAAAAAAGGTAAACTACATCAAATACCATCAAATTTTAAGCGTCGACTCGTTTATACCACCAAATTTTCAATTTTATCAATTTTAGCACTAACATTTTCTTTCAAGTGCAATTATACCACTCTTATGGTAATTACTTAACAAGAGGATCACATGGCAATTGCACGCCTGATGTTCTGATGTGGTTGCCTCACCAAAACGACGTCGTTTGTTAGAGTCACTCTATGAAAAAATTATTTTCCTTGGAATTCAAACCAAAGTTTCAACTAACTAATGCTAAACACCCAACCATCAAGCTAACTTAACAACTTGTTATATTCTTAACAAAGCTAATGGAGTAATATAGCTGATGAAACAATATTTCCCATGGCATCAGCAGTGGGAGGAATAATCAAAGCATGATAATCCAATTTGGACAAAAAGGACTTCCCAAACTCACATGTCCCAAAGTAAACAACAGAACCTACAATAACAGTCGAAACTCCTTTGTAAAATCCTAGAATACCACTCGTCTGGAAAGATTTGACAATAGCATCGAAGGTGTTGGCATGAATCTTGCAAGCACCCTTGGTCTGCATTTTGGTCTTGATGGTATCGAGTGGGAGAAGACAGACGTAAGTGAATGCACCAGCAATTCCACCACCACCTGCGTCGATTAGAGCTCTTTCGAAGATTGATAAGTTTTTCATAAGGGTTTGGACTTTGAGATTGTTTCTCGATGTGGGTTTTAGCCATTTGAGGAATGAAAGGGAATTGAGTTTCGGGAATCAGTTAAATTGGAAAAAGGGACCGGAATTTGAAACTTGTGTTTCCATAGATCCGGTTGAGAATCAGCGGGAATGGAAGCAGAGGCAAAGGAAAGGTGGTGCTGGAGATTTTTGGGGGTTTTTTTTAAGGATTTTGAGAGGATGAAATGAGAGTGGTGAAACGGGCGAAAAGAGAACTGCTGTTAAGTGTTAAGCATATAACAAGTTGTTAAGTTAGCTTGGTGGTTAAATGTTTAGCATTATTTCATTGAACTTTGGGTTGAATCCCATGGAAAACAATTTTTTAATCATGGGACTCTAACAAAGTGATATCATTTTAGGATTTTTGAGCATCAAAACGACTTCGTTTTGGTGAGACAACCACATCAATAGCGTCCCGACGTGCAACTGCCATGTCATCCTCCCATTAAATAATTAATGACAGAGTAGTATGATTGTACTTAAAATAAAATGTTAATGCTAATATTGATTTTGTTTTAGAAAGAAAATACAAAGATTAAATGAAAAGAAAGAAATAAAGAAAATGATAAACTTTTTTAATTTACTAATTTATTATTAATATATATGTCATAATATAATTGGTGGGGCATATATACATGCATGAAATGAGAGCAGAAATTCTATTCATCTATTCATATGAACAAGATATGAAAGCGTATAATTTTTTGAGTTAAATTAAAAAATTTAATCGAATTTTCAAATATGTAACTCGTGTTAATATTATATAGTCCATGTCCAATCTATGTACCCCGAAATTTAATAGACCGAGTACATGACCCATAACCTTGACCTTTTATTAAAAAAACCTAATTTTTTTTATCAGCTCACCGTATTGGTTTTTTCTAAACGATCTTACGTATATTCATGGTTTGTATTATGCTAAATTGATAGATGAACCAACGGTTAAGGATAAATTACATCATTAGTTAATAAACTTTTGAAGTTATCTTGCTTTAGTCATCGAGCTATAAAAAATATATATTTTGGTATTAAACTTTTTTGTCAATTCATCATTAAATTAATAACATCAAAAAAAAAAGTGACCGTTATCTTCCCTTTTCGCAAAAACCCTTAAACTATTATGGATGTTGCTCATCGTTCTTCGCGACAAAATTAGTACTAAAATGTTTGTATTTGTCTCTCCTCTCTTCTACCAATTTGGTTTTCCAAGGAGCTTACTTAAAAATTCATCCAATTCTTGAATCTTCTAATACTCAAATCTCCTCCAACGGTCTTATAATAAGGCTGGTTTCGAGATATGTTGTTCTTTATTGAAGATATTTTTTTACCATTATGATTTTTCGACGAGAGACCACTAAATTTGGGAAGAAACCCCTCAAATCAGATTAAATTCTCAGACTCTAAAAATGAATAATGCTGGGATTTTTGTCTTTAGTTTCATGAATTTTAAATAGGTTTTAGGAAAATCTAAATAGGTAAATTGATAGAGAAAGATGTAGCGAGTTTGTCCATATCTAGGGTGCTTGTAAAAGACATTGAAGAATGACGATTTTTAGTACCAACTAAAAATGTGGAATAGAAACCATAAGTTTAATAAAGAAGATAATGAATGGAAAAAGGAAAAAATATCACATCAAGTAAAAATAAAAAAATAATATTTTTTACCTTCTAAATCAACAAAAGATTGCACGTTATTAGGATGTTAATGATGTAACAACCCAAAGGCCAAGGAAAATCAATTTGAAAATATAAGTGGTTAAATTGATTTTTTTTACAATTTGATGATCAAGTCAAGAAAATTCCTAAAGTTTAACGTCTAATTGTGTAATTAGCCCAAAAAATCTATTTTATTTAACTTATCCTTCAAGTAAAAGTTTTTAACCACATATTATAATAGAGGTACTTGATAAGAGCACTTAAACCAACTCTCAGTATAAACAGGTCAATAAAAAAACATTTTTTATTTACCTTATTTTCCAAGCAATTATTTTTCGTCATTCTATTGGTTCTATTTTCTCTAAGTATTGAAATCCTATTGGAAATATATATCCCTAGATCACTGCCTCCATGTTACAAGTTCAAGCCAAAAGATGAAGAGCTGATTGATTTTTATTTGAAAAGAAAAATCTACAAGAGACCATTGCCACCCAACATCTTTAGGGACGTTGATCTCCACAAGCATGATCCTCTTACTCTTACATGTTTGTCTAAAACCCTAGTTTTCTTTTTCTTTTTGATTTTGGTGTTCTTGAAATATATATATATATATATATATGTTTCTATATCACTTTGCGATGATAATCGTTTTATTTTCATGTTGTCAGAGATGTGTGATAATGCATCTCAAATGGCGTAATATCCGAGTGGTACTTTTTCACACAAGAGATCGTAGACACCCAAATGGCAAGAGGCGTGTGCGGCGTATCGGTTATAGGTATTGGAAGGAAACAGGAAAGGCTATTCTGGTCACCTCTAGGGGAGAGAAAGTCGGTTCCAAGAGGACTTCAGTCTTTTTCAGAGGAAAATCATTGAAAGGTGAAAAACCAATTGGATCATGCACGAGTACGCGT